AAAAGAAGAAATATAAGATGGAGGTTATTGGATAGGTGTGTTATCCAATCCTGTCTAAATGAAATGATATTCTTAGGACGTGTCACTATTAACTGACATCCGGTTATGATTATACATTTAAGATACATTCTTAATCTATCTGTTCTTTCTCTTTATTTGTATATATATATATATATATATATATCGAGGGAGAGAGGGAAACCTCCTAGCTACAGCCCGCCCCCGTCAACAGACTTCGGATGCAACAGACCAAATCTACAGGCAAAATAAAAAAAAAATGTAGGAAAATAACAAACAAATACTATTCTTAAAAGAGTGCTCAATAGAGAGTAGAGCAAATATAATTATTTATTCGAAAATTATAACATAAATATGTTATAGAATCACTACAAAATAGCCATTTTGTTTCAATACTTCTGGTAACACCATCACTTGATACGACACCAGAAGTGTTGAACAAAATGGCTATTTTTGTAGTGATTCTATAACATATTTATGTCACAATTTTCGAATAAATAAATATATATATATATATATATATATATATATATATATATATATATATATATATATATGTATATATGAGTGTATATGTGTATACTATATATATATATATATATATATATATATATATATGTGTGTGTGTGTGTGTGTGTGTGTGTGTGTGTGTGTGTAAAAAAATATATAGAAAATAGGAAAAGAACTCGTTAGGTAAATAATTTTTTAGTATTTTTAGTTATTATTTTTAAAAAATAGTGCTCGATACAAGAGTAGAGCATAAATATAATTATTTATTTAAAAATATGATTCCATCGCTACATAAGAGTTCTCATGTTTCGAAACAAGAGCCGAAAACTTCAATATAATTATTTGAATTAAATTGAATTAAAATACCAAGCTCTGTTCCATGATTCAAAAAAAAAAATTCGCTTGAAGATGGAACAGAGCTTCGGTGATCGAACGCAAACTGGTGGGTCAATGTGAAGTGGCTGTAAGCCAAAACATCAAGGAATAGTCGAAGAAAACAAGCTTAGTTTAAAAAGTGTTCACACGCGGTCATATGTGTACATTCGAATATATATATATATATATATATATATATATATATATGTGTGTGTGTGTGTATATATATATATATATATATATATATATATATATATATATATATATATATATATATATATATATATATATATATATATATATATACCGCCATGAGATCGCCGGTAAAACAGCATAGCTGGATAATAGTGGGTAAAATGTTTATATTAAGAGAAAAGAACAAAGTAATTTTTTATTATTCTTCAAAATTTTCTATCTTTATTAGAGCATTCTAACCATACTCGCCGAGACGCTTCTCTGTGGCTCAATCGGTAAAAGCACGTCAGTATGTGTAGCGGTTCCGTATAGGATACAGGTTCGATTCCTGTCGAACGACGTATAGTTTCTATGAAGATTTATCGGGCATTTTAGCAGTTAATACTTTTTATTTAAAAATATATATATATATATATATATATATATATATATATATATATATATATATATATATATATATATATATATATATATATATATATATATATATATATACTAACATGTCTCAAAATTTTCGTTTTTTTGGGCGGGGACTAATTCTTGTGTGCCTCGAAATTTCGAATAATAATTTAGCGCCATTAATATAAGAGAGAAAATCCGAAAGTTCCTCCGAAATTAAAATAGATACAACGAGCTATATAACACAGTTGGATAGAGTGATTTTTCTACTACAAATCATTATTTTTTTCCCACGGTCACCACCATTAGCTCTGAGGTCGCAGAAATTATCTGACAGCCATGACTAGGTTCTCCTGTTTGTGTGACATGGTGCAGAATCCTGTAGTTAGATAAAGGGTCACCCACTTAACCCAGGGTAGCACTAACTCCCCAAGGCACTTAAGGAAGCCTTCCGGGTTTGAATTTGAGGCCCCCTCCAACAAATTCGGAAGTTGTTTTTTTTTTGTTTTTTTTTATCAGAACGATCAGACTGAGTTTTCGGAACTGCTGTACCTTCTTAATCACCATTAAACTCATCCAACTCTTTCCGAATCCTCTGCACTGTCCTCAGATTGACACACAAACAATCTAAAATGTTCGTATTGGAGCTCCGGTGCGAATTCCAAGGAGAACATCATGCCGTTTCCAAATTTCTGGCCGAGCGAATTGCGCCATGGGGCTCTTTTTCTCACAGACGGTGCCCAACTGACCCTACTATACTGTGCCCTCGACAAACACAAAGACAAACAACGCGCATGCGCGAAATTAAAAATATAAAATGACGACAATTTACTCATCAGTATAAAAACAGGTAGACACAATATGTCTATATAATTCAACTAAGTATATATATATATATATATATATATATATATATATATACATACATACATACACAGACACGCATCTCATTAACGGTGGACGGTGACTCGATAAATCTGATTGTCCGTAAATGAGAAGGGATTATTTTTTAGGTATAAAACAACTATAGTAACTGTCAGTAATTATAATCATAATGTAAATACAATAAACACGTATATATTGCATAAATAAATATAATATACTGTACTGTATATATACGGCATAATCATATATGCATGCATATCACCGAAGTTAAGCAACGTTGAGCCGTGTTAGTACCTAATGAGTGACCGCTTTGGAATATGAGGTGTTGTAAACTTGAATGTGCGGACGGTGTAAAGGATAATAACCCGGAACCGAGTTCCAATTTCAGTTGGGTTCGTTATATTCACTTACAAGCAAATAACCTTGGGAACGGCATGAATTCACTTCTTGACCACCCCCACACGCCATCTATGTGCTAATTACTATGAATTTTATCAGGAAACCATTATAATCTTTTAAAAAATTCTTACACTCTTAAAAAAATATATTCTGGCTTTAAATACCTCCCAAAGGGTTACTAAGCCGTAAAAAAACGAATCAGTCAATCTTTGATGTTTCCTTAAGTCATACCTGTGGGCAAAAATAGACTTGCATTTCAAATTTGATCTGAGTATACTGCTAAAATCATGCCCATTTGGATGCGCGCTTTTGAAATAGCGAGTGAGTCCACTTGACTCTTTACAAACCTTACCAGAAAATGTTTCATTTCAAACCTTGCTGATCAATGTAATTGTAGACTTGTATCATAGTTTGGGTTATAACTGATAAGACCAGCTTTACATAAACGTGTACTGTCACAGATCCCACGCTTAAATATCCCCTTAATTCCGACGATCTCACTTTTCCTTGCAACACGTTTCGTCTCTGAATGATAAATTCGTCTGAACTCAAAAATATCCTTTATATCATTGACAACCGATCTTCAGTCAGTGGACCTTTTTCTCAGTCGCAGATTGTTCCCAGGTGTTTCAGTTTCTCTGTCTTTTCTTTGGGGATTAGATTCAACAGTTTTTATAAAGTTTACGAGGTTTGCATTGCAAGCGATTGCCCCACATGAGCTCCCCCCACCACACACACACACTAGTGAGCTTGCTTGGGGTTTCAGTTACCTGCGAAGCCGACAAAGTAACTAGACTATCTGGGTCGATGCCTTAAGATCGTGCACACAATGTATAACAGTCACCTGATGTACCTTGGTGTTGTGTGTGAAAGAAGTCCAAAAGATATTCATAATCGATCGGATACATCACCTATGCAACACACACACACACACATACATATATATATATATATATATATATATATATATATATATATATATATATATATATAAAGGAACTGGATTAAATCCGACATATTGTTATTTCGTAATTTATTTTGTTTAAACGTTATTTTTTGATATATATATATATATATATATATATATATATATATATATATATATATATAAATATATATATATATATATATATATATATATATATATATATTAGAGTAGAACACTGTTTTTTTTAATTAAACAGTATTTTATCCACCTACATCTACAGGCCTTAATATTCAAGAAATCTTGTCAGAAAATATGCATCCTTTGAATATGAGTATCCCACAAAAATAACGTTTAAATATATATATATATATATATATATATATATATATATATATGTGTGTGTGTGTGTGTGTGTGTGTGTGTGTATGTGTGTGTGTGTATGTGTGTGTGGAGAAATGAGACAGTGCAAAGTCTTTTTATTGACAATGCGGTTCCACTTCGTGAGGTAGGCGTCTTCAGGTTAGAATTCATCCTGACCTGAAGACGAAGGCGATACGTGTTGTTCATAAAAAGAATCGCCACTGTCTCCTTTCTTCACTTTTGTTCGGCTCCTGTATACTACTAATACACACACACACACACACACACACACACACACACACACACACACACACACACACACACACACACACTTATATATATGTATGTGTGTGTGTATATGAGGTCTCTTTTGTGCTTATAGATGCGTTTTATTAAGAATCTGCAGTGTCCAATATTTACCTAAAGAAGAAACTCCTATATGGTAGTGAAAGCTGAAGAAGAGACTTAAGGCTACAGAAACGCTGTTCATAACCTTGAAATGGTTGATAAGCCGTAGAAAACGAAACAGTCAATCAATTTGAAGCTAAGAACTTTGCCACTGAGAAGTTATTAAATGAATAAAGATGTTCAATTTAATGACTAGGGATGCTGAGCTTCCTCCTCTAAAGTGCATAATGGGACTGAAACTTTTTAAATCGTTTATTTTAAGACTATAACCCGATTATTAGTAATGGCAAGAACCCAGCTCGGTCATTCGTCTTTCTGTGTTGAAAGAATTTTTGTTTCGAAATAAAAAGAATTCTAATAATCTTGAATTGATATCTCCCCTACTATCAATGGTTTAGTTCCTCATTCTTCTATTCACCGTGTCCTTTCATTTCGTGGATGATTATTGCTCTCCACAGCTTCCTATCCGTTGTAGCTCATTATCCATTCCAATCCCTGTTCTGCTATACACGTGCACACGACTTACGACCACATCACGTTGAAACACAACTTCCCGTCCGATCGCCGAAGTTAAGCAATGTCGAGCCTGATTGATATCTACATGGGTGACCGCTTGAGAATACCAGGTGCTGTAAGCTTGGATTTGCTGCTTGTGCAATGGATAATGGCTCGGAATTGTTAATCAGAGAGCCGAGTTCAAATTCCAGTTGGGTTCTTTATATTGACTTAAAGGTACGAATCCACCTTTTGTCCCTCTAGCTATGGGTTAATTAGTAAGAGTTGAATCACTAAACGATTATTATCTCCAAAAATAAAATAAAATTGTGTATAAAATATTTAGATTTCGGCCTTAAATAACCCATAGATGTGTTGATATGCCACTAAACAAAATAAATTTACCATTTGCACAAGCTCGTTATGTAGGTTACACGCTGTTTCCATCTGTATCGCTTGCCTTCAAAATGCCTTGTGTGTGTTAAATTTACCAAGACTCCTTTCCTCATTACGTGTACCAGAAATTTCAACTGTCTCTTTATTTGTTTCAATTTTCCTCAAAACATCATCGTTATTCACGATGTGCTGTGCCACTTCAGGATATGGACGATCATGGCTCTCCACAAATGCCTGTCCTTTCTAACGCTTATTAAAGATTCTCACTCTTTTTTTTTTATTATCTCCTAGCCCCTGTTATGCCAACCATGTGCACAGGCCCTCTAGGAAGGTTGTGCTCTGCTTTCGTCTTTTTCTTGATTTCAAATTGATTGATTGATTTGTTTTCTACGGCTTATCAACCCTTTTGTAGATTATGAACCGCGTTTCTGTGGCCTTAAGGCTCTTCTTCAGTATTCACTTCCATATAAGAGTACTGATATATATTCTTATGTTTGGTCATTTGTTCAGATTTTATAAGTTGTTCGGGCCATGAACCTTTTAGATTGATTGATTCATTCATTTTCTACGGCTTATCAACCCTTTGAAGATTATGAACCGCGTTTTTGTGGCCTTAAATCACTTTTCTCAGCATTCACTGCCATATAGGTGTAATGATCTATATTCTTGTGTTTGGCCATTTTTTCAGATTTTATACGTTGTTCAGGCCATGAACCTTTTCAGATTGATTCGTTTTCTACGACTTATCAACTCTTTGTCGGTTATTTAAAGCCAGAAAATATTTTTCGATCGTAGGATTTTTTTGAGATAATAATGATTTAATGATACAAGACTTACTAATTAACCCAGGGAGGAAAAGGGTGGATTCATAACTTTCAGAAGGGTTTTTGCGTGTAAGAAGAATGTAAGAAGAATGTTCTTTGAATTTTGCCTTCAATATATCCCGTAAGTGTCATTTTCTCGAAGCCCTCTTTCCTCATTACGTGCCCTAGAAATATCGACTGTCTTTTTCTGATGCTAAGTATAGGTGTCCTTTTTTTGTTTCTATTTTCTCTAAAAGTTCGTCGTTTCCCACGTGTTCAGTCTATGGTATTCTCAGCATCCTTCTGTAGAACCACATTTCTGATTCCCTAAGTACAGAATTCACAGCCAGATAGGATTGATATAATATAGTCATTCAATTTTCTTTTTTTTTGCTTCTACGGGAATTTCTTAGTATTTTGTTTCGATTATGGAAAATAGCTTTTGCTAAAACTAAATAATAAAAAAAAACTAAATAAAATTGTTGCCAAGTAAGGCTATAGAGAACACTCTACCTTACGATATAACTTATAGGTCAAGTAACATAGTGGTTTCCACTTCTCTTATACTAACTGGCGTCAAGGCTAGAGAAAACAGTCTACACTACTATTTAATATAAGGAAGTGTAAATGGATATAAATCCGACAGAATGAAGAAAAATTTTGAAAAAACAAACAAAAATCCTTAAATGTTGTTTAAAATGAATGAAATGTCGACGTCTGGGTTTAATAAACCTTTTTCAAGACAATATACTACTATTTAATCTATAGCTTACAATCTATACATTATTCGAACTATTGTCCTCATCTTTGCCGCCATATTTATTACAACGTTTGGCCTTCTTCAGGTGGTTGGAATGTCGAACTGAAGTTATCAGTTATCTCCTGTTAATTCCCTTCTCCAAGTTCTTCACCGGGTATTGAACTCACATTCTTTGGGTCTAGTCACTGGATCTAACCAACGCCCTTATCCACTGTGCCATGTGTCCCTGAGGACATCTGTGTATGAATTTCTGGGTATTATAAACCTAATGTCTTCAGTACCATTTTTACCAGTGTTTATATTGCAATTTTTGCTGTTGTTATTGGTATCTTCCTAGCGCTGTTTTGATTTTTAATTGTCTTTGTTTAGAATGGTTGCCAATCAAGGCTATAGAGAACCCTCTACCTTACGATGTAGCTCAGGTAGGTCGGGAAGCATAGGGGTTTCTCGTTGCTTCCTCCACGGTTTTGAATTCAAAATGCTCCTTTTTTTTTTTTTAGACTGTCACGTCTCGAAAGCCTCGGCGAGCTGAAGACGGAAAGGAAATATAGATTAACGCCTTCCTAAAGGACATTGGGAAAAAAGTCAATGCAATGGACGAGGCTAGAATTTACACACATCTCACTGTTCCTACTTTCCAGATTGTTAACCATTACAAGGACAATCATATTTCTTTACTTATTCTTACATTTAAAGGAAATCTCACGCACTATGTCTTATTAATTTCTTTTGTTTTTTATCGTTATTTCTTATGTCTTCTGGTCTCAATGGTGCTTGCAGGTGTTCGCAGGGCCGGGTATCGCTTCCTTCGCTTCAGACAACCAATATACGTTCCTTATTTACTTTTTTCCCCACAAAACTTACCATATGTCATGCCGTATCAAATCTAAGCCATTGGTCAGTCCTTAAGACCGCGGTAATTCCAAGGCTAAGACCTCTGCGTCAACTCTTAGCATGTTCATATTCGCTTTTAATGCCTCATTTTAATTCCCTAAGAGTTTTGTAGACTTTGTTGATTAGAAATGAATTTTGCTTTGATGTCTGATGGGCTGACATTTGTAAGTTTCTTAATAAATGAATGGATATTAACTCTTTCGTTCGTATTCTTTCTTTTTATTTCTTTCTTTCTTTCTTTTTCTTTCTTTCTTTCTTTCCTTCTTTTTTCTTTCTTTCTTTCTTTCTTTCTTTCTTTTTCTTTCTTTTTCTTTCTTTCTTTCTTTTAAGCGTCTCTTTCATTCTTTTGCACTATGGCGCTTTCTTTCCTTTTCTTTCCTTCTTTCTTTCTGCTTTTCTTTTTTTCTTTTCTTTTCAATATTTTTCTCTTCTTTTTTTTTTTACGCTACGCCCCTCTCCATCCCTATTCCCTCTCTCCTTTCTTTTCTTCCTTCCTCTTTTCTTGCCTCCTTTCCTTTTTTTTCTTTTCGGTTGTGTCCTTTTATTTCTTTTACACATCATCCTCTCCTCCCTTTCTTTCTTTTTCTTTAATTCTTTCTTTCTTTCTTTCTTTCTTTCTTTCTTTCTTTCTTTTAAAGCCTTTTTTCTTTCTTTCTTTCACATCACGTCGCTTTACATTCCTGTCTTTCTTTCTTTCTTTCTTTCTTTTGTGAAAAAACGTAATTCGAGTGAATATGGATGCTGAGGTACACCCTCCGAACGTAATGATTTCATTTTCTTTTTTTTTCTTTTTTTTTAATTTCGTTTTATTTTATTTTAGTTATTGACACGATTTCTGTTGGCCAAATACAATAATTGCTCGCAAATTTTAAGTTTTTCTAAAGACCTCCTCAGATTTCTTATATGTAGATTTATCGTTATTTCCATTCGTACTACTGCCCTCATCATTATTATTATCACAACATTTCGGCTGCTGTACTCCCCTGTCTTCTTCAGGTGTTTGTTAAACCAGGTAAACTTCAGAGAATTTCGAATTAAACCATTTATTTAATCTACCCGGGGTATATATTTCCCGTTCCGTTATCTATGTCTAGACGTGTCTAGTTCTTACTTCTCGACCGATTTTTAAGTCTGCACTAACCGACGTAGGGATTGAACTCACAATTACTATCACCAAAATCACGAACCAACAGTTTAATCCACTGGTCTATTGTGTCTAGTTCAAGACTGTCGTTGTTGCGTGAAATTTGGTGACATATAGCGATGGGATTATAAACCATAAAAGTTGCCAGCCAATTTGGCGCCAAAATGTTTGAATGCCGACCGGAAATGATATTGAGTGAACTCCTGTATGTTGATTTTTGCGACTTTTTGCAGTGATACTTTGTGTAAATGACTTGTTACTTTGGATGGGATACGGGTACACCACAATGAATCGGGAATTAAAAAAATGATTTGTTTAACGGCACATCAACTCCTTGTGGGTCATTTAATGCCAAGATTTGATTTTCTTGAGAACTATGAAATAATAAAAATATATCTGTTGTTCCGTTTTCACAATTGAATCCATAGTAGATGATAGTCAGCTTTTGTGAATATACATCTTTGTGTGGACATAATTACTAGAGGCAGTGATATGTGTGTTTTATGTTGTTGTTTTATTGTTATATTTTCGAATACAGTTTTTAAGAAATTGTAGGATATTATATGGATTTAATGTCATAGAAAAAGATAATTCATGTTAGTTGTTTGGTTGATTTTGTTTAGCGGCATATCAGCACCTATATGGGTTATTTAATGTCGAAATGTAAATATTTTTAACAATTTTATAGCTTTGAATAAATATATTTTAAACACAATTGTATGCCTTCAACTACAGATGAAATGTATTTTTGGATCGATTACATTGCAGATCCTTCTTTGCATTTTGTCAAGAAGCTTGAAATGAAAAGCAGAAGCACCAGACAAGATGTAGCAACAGTATTCAATGCACGGACAAATGATAGATTTGTAAATGTGCAAGATGGACTCTAACGACAGAGGCATGGCACGACACAGAGAATCAATTTTCCTTACAATAGATGCAGCTAATGATTTAATGTAGTCGTTCCACTTCAAGTCAGTTAAAAACATAAGGCCAGGAAGGCGCGTTGTGCTGGTGTCTAGCATCAGTCATGCTGATGGCAAGCAGAAAAGATTCTCTCTGGTGGTTAAATGAGAGCAGTTTTGTTTTGTAGGCATTAAAATTTACAAGTTATTTCTTGCCCCAGTTAACCATTGATTGGAGG